TGAATGTGAAAAAAGTGAGCTTAAGAAGACGAAATAACAAAATTTGGCAGGGTGAAAGATAAATGTTTACGTCGATTAAATGATAACTGCTTATGAATCAGACACTCAGCCAATCATCTTGCACAATAATGCACAAGACGATAGTTAACGTGAAATGTTTTGCCTGTTCTCTTCTGTATTACAACATATTGCATCAGATTTTGAAGATATGTAAAACACACACGAATTTTAAAAAAAGGAAAGATAGCAGCGAGTAGTTTCGATCTACCGCCCTCTGAGTTATGAGCCCAGCACGCTTCCACTGCGCCACGCTGCTTGTGTCCAACTTTAAAGTAACCTAGTCATGATAGTAGACTTCTGCTCAAAAGGGTCTGGGTGTGGACGAGGGGACGCATCACTTCAAAACATGCACATCCACACCCACATCCATTATTTATCTCTACTAATCGCGATGTGTCTTTTCTAATATACATCGGAAAAAAAAACAAAAGGTTTGAGGGATAAATATGTGATTCTAAAAAAAACCATATATTAATTTTTAATATTTTGATTGATATTTATATTTTAAATATTTTTTTCGAATCAATATTTGTCCTGAATAATTTCATAGCAGTTTTGTATAATTATTATCAATCACATAGTAAAATGTTTTTTCTTTGACGAATAACAAACCACTTGACTATAAACACTTCTAACAGTTACGTTTCTTATCAAAATGGAACAAATCGATATACAAGTTATTTTCTTTATTCCGCTTAGGTGCTTGAGTAGATGCAAAAAAAAAGAAAAAAATAAAAGAAAATCAGTAGAACAGACAGAACGTAAAATCTTATATTTGCCTATCGCCTCGTTGATACTATTCGTAAGACTCATTATACTTTTTTTTTTCAGTGTGTATATACATCACTTGTACATGCATCATTTTCTTCATATAGTATTCTGATTATTAGTTTTATACATTGTATTATTTATTGAAGTATTACTATTAATATAAACCTCCAAGTGACATTAACCAACATCTTATATTTAATACATATCTACACATAGAATAGAATGGCGTTGATATTATTTTTATTTAAAGTTTCTAATATTGATATTTCCAATTCTAAATTGGAAACTATTGGTAAAAATAATGATCAATCAATATCTGATATGCCTACAACACAATTTATTAATGATGAAAATGTGACATTATTGAGTGCTAAAGTCATATTTCGAGGTATCTATTAATAACATATGAATATAGAAAAAGAGAAGACAATAAATCAATATAAAAAAGAATGACAAATGAAAATTAACAACGGACTCTTGTACTTTTACTTGAGAAAAAATGATTTATTTACATGTACGGTATGACAGCAATATGACATGTAGTAATTGCTTCTCCTAAAAAAATTGACCTTGTAGCTTCCATATCTATTCACTACCTTGATTACGTAACATCAAAAATAATCTTTTTTTTTTGATTTCCAAATTATTCATTTTCTAGTTTATCTTTCTTTTCACATCATTTTTTAATGAACTTAAGAATCCATTGTCAAATTAATAACAACCTATGTAATAAATACTGAGAAACTACCATCGGTATACCTAATGTGCGCGATATACCAGTGGTACTAGTTATGAGATAAATTTTTATTAGTAAAATATATTCTGACACTGTTTTATTCTCGATTAATTTGAGTTCTTCCTAATGAATAATTCGAATTTGGATAGAAAACGCTTTCTAAAATCGTTTACAGCTGGAGCTAAAAATCGTAAGCACTACTGTTGATTCTGATGAGTACCACGGTACAAACGTGCAACATGAAAATGCTGATTTTTAAATAGTGTATGGAATGTCGCATAAGCTTTTTACTTTTTGTCCTTGATTTAATATGCATTGACCTATTCATTATCGATTCCTATTTACTTTGTTCGCTTCGATATATATTTCGAATGTTCTGTACGAAAAGGACGAATAGTGGATGTATAATTGCTTAATCTATCACGTTGCTCATTTATAGTGTTGTTTATTTGTAAGCAATCATGTTAAAATCTTTCGTAGATATTTCATACTTACAAAGCATATTTTTATTGATTTTTTTAAATTAAATTTAAATACTTTTTAATATACTAAATATAAAAAATGAGAATGAATGAAAATAAATTGTCTAAAAAGCAAATCAATAGAAGTTAAATATAATTATCATACAAAACAAAAATATGATATCTCAATATGAATAATAATGTTTTTCTTTTTGTGCTCGATATAAATTTTGAATGATTACAGTTGATTTACAATTTTCTATTAAAGGTATTAACCTTTGGTCAAATAATGTACGTATACGTGATGGTACAGCAAATTTTATTGCACGTGGAAATAAACCAAAGAAATTTAATTTCAATTTAGCAACTATGTTAGTACCCGATGATAAATTAAGCATCGAATTTTATATAATAAATGGGAAAAAAAAAACGAAAAAAATTGTTTGCAACTTTTGAATTAATGCTTGAATCTTTAATCAATTCAAAATATATTGATTTATCTGAAGAAAATTTATCTGATCCAAATAATTCCTTATTACCATCAACTGTACAACTTAAACTTTATTATACACCACCAGATATTGATAAACAACTTGCTACAATAAGACATGATGATACCGTTGAATTGATCGATTGGAGAAATATATTTGATGACGAAGGCCGACATGGTGGTCATCGACATAGATATGTGCATTCAAAACATGATGGTCGATTGTAACTATTTAAATTAATATCAATCAATCCATATTTCTATTTGTTTCTATTATAGAACAAAACTTCGTAGAAAATTAGCCGGTCGTGCAGATGATGCTGATACTGATACAGGTAGTGATTCAGATTTTGAAGTAGTTCAAGATTCTGAAAAAAAATTTGAAACGGTTGATAAAAATGCAAAAATAAAAATGCAACATAATGACATAGAATTATTGGAAAAAAGGTAAACAAAGAAAAAGATTTCATTTTTATAATAAAAAATTTTTTCTATGATTCAAATTAAATATTAGTTTGGGTCGATATGTTGGTGATGTATATGAAATGATCGAATGGCAACTTATGGTACATATTATACAAGCACGAGATCTTCCAGGATTTAATATTAGTCCATATGTTAGTGTTCAAATCGATAATCAAAAACGATATACAAGTGTACAAAAATCTTCTAATTCACCATATTTTCGTGAAGTAAGATATTCAAAAAAAAAAAAGAAACATCAAAATTAAAATATATTTATTTTCTAGTTCTTCACATTTGATTTTACGCTACCAGCTACAAAATTTATGGAAAAAGTTATTATTATCAAAGTAAATTTTTGTTATTTGATCATGATTAATTTATTATGGCTACTATTTAAGTAGTCAGTAAAATAGATGAAATTATCAGTAAAAAAAAATAGATAAATCATCAATATAAATATTAAACAGTCAGTGTCTTAAATATAAGCAACAGTAAAAAAAAATAAGCTTTACTAGTAGAAAATAAATTTAAATTCATGCCGATCTCTCTATGAGAAGACTGTTATTTATGTGGTGGCAAGTTGGACATATATGTATTTATTGCCAAAGTACAAAGTGACAAAAACAAAACAATTTAATACAACAATAAAATAAAATAAAGTTAAGACATTTTATATAGAGCACCGTTGTAAGTTGAGAGAATAAATTGGTAGGATAGTAGAATAAAATAAAGAAAATGTTCACGACCAGTGCTAATCACATTGCATAAATGAAAAGTCACAGCAGCTTCCAGCCTAAAATAAAAAAGTTGTGCTGTATGTGCCGTGGCTTCAGACCGTTGGGTTACAAGTACAACTTAATCAACTCAACATGTTGCATGCCAAAACATCCAACACGAGGAATTTGCCTTTTCGGCTTTGGTGTCACTTGACACAAGTAGTTCGCACTTAATATGCTAAAATCACCTTTATCCGGGAGAAATTATTCAGGATCATCTATATACTATTTATAATGGGAAATGAGTGGGCGGGTATTGAAAAGTTTAACTAGAAGAAATGTTGAAGTTTTAACAAATTAAACATGATTATATGAATCATTTTTCACTGAATGAGAGCGCAAGAAGATAATAATGAAATAACAACTTAACTACACATGATAAATCAAAGAACTAACGAATAAATAAGACGAAATTTGAAGAATAGTTGAAAAAAAAAGAAAATGAAAATCGAATGATTGTATTAGTAAAGCAGATTTAACCTTTGCTCCTACTAGCTGGCATCCCACTCCATCTCTTTTCTTACGAAAAAGTAACTTGTTGGCGAAAACATCCATAAATATATTGATTGATGTTACCATATCATACAAAAAAATCACATAACACAAACTGATATACAGATTAGTCGAGCTGTATAGCTAAGGAGGCTAAATTATAATTTTAGTGATCAACTTCAACGATGCTATATATCCCTAATTGGAACCCAATTTTTATAGTTCTCTGGTGGAGGTAAAATTACTCAATTATATTTCCAATGTGAACTCATCATTCTCTCACAATCTGGGCAAGTTTCTCTGGTTAAGATCGACATGTAAAATGATAATATCGAGCTTACTTTTCTTGACCGTTTTTCTCAGCCTCAGAGAAGTTTGTGATGTGAATCTAACAATGGATAGCTAACTCGTAGCGTAACGCATACGTCAAAATGAAAAGTTTTCAGGGTGGCTAGACCTATCCTAGAATCCTGTCAGATTCGATAGGATTTCTTCGACAAGATAACTTCTGATAGTATGATGTCATAAGTTAAAGATTTCTGCTTATCACATATCGATAAAAGTTTTCATGTTGTATTCGACAATATCTGATCCTTCAAAATTACTGGGTAGATTACAGATGCCGTGATATTTTGCTAGATTACCTTACTGGATTAATTTACTGTTAAAATGAAGTAATCCCTCTCTTTCAGAGTTTCTCCATATACAATCACATTTTGGACCATCGTATATCTCTAAACCATACACAGAGAAATATAATCGTATACGAAGAAATACAGAGTAAATTGAAAGCCATAGACGAGTTTTGTTTGTCCATAAACGATCATATTTCTGTGCATACGATCACGGATTTGTACGATTGCAACACTGGGCTATGTGAAACGCCGTATTTCTCTGATTACAAGCGTGTTTGCTTGACATGGATTAATATTGACAACGATTTGATGATACTTAGAAGAAATCGGATATGATGGAATGCGATAACAACAAACAGGGGCACCCCACTGACCAAAAAGTAGAGGATCATATTTCGATGGAAAAGATCAAGCCTTTTCGATATCACGAGATCAAACGATTCCTCACAAACTCACTGTCTGGGCACCATTGAAACCAATGTATTAATTTGCACTGGGAAACGAAAAAGTGAAACTGATTTGCGAAAAATGATAAAAATCATGGAAGAATTCCTGAAAGTTGAAAAAAAAGAAAAAATAACTTTCTCATATGCACAGTCATCCGAAAAAAGGAACAGAAAATAAAAAAAAACATTTAATGAATTCTGATCGTCTCTATTTCTGTGTGCCTATTTAGTCAGATACTACGCAAATAGAATAGACTATTTTTCTAATGTTTTTCGTTTTCTAATGCATACATAAGCAATTGCATAAAAATCTCTATGAACAATTGGAAGTTTCGTTTCTTTTTTACTCTTTCAAGTCATATTCAACTTATATTGATAATGTACGAGTTTTATCGGATTTAGAGTACTATTGTGCCAGTGGGTTTTAGTTTCCTTCGGACGAAACTGTATGCCTCTTTTTCTCCTCTTTTTTTACATAGTATTGGTGGAATGCCAGTGCTACTAGTGATTTACAATATTTCAAACGAATAGCCATACACACAACGTGTTGTCATATATAATTCTTAAAAACAAAAAGCTAGACAGTTGTATTTCGATGTTTTCCAATGTAAATTATTTATTGGTTGCCTCTAGGGCGTTGTTTGTACTTATTGTATACAGTTGTATATCTTCATAACAATCATCATTTGATTTGAATCATCCATTGTCAAATGCGCTTTGTTTGCAACTCAACATTGTGATTACCTCTTTTTTTTAGGTTTCATTTATTTCATGATCTCCTTCCATCATCTCTTCATCTGATGTATCACTTTCATAATCGCAAATGCCTCAAATTTTGTAAACACGAAATATGTTATTTTTATTTTAAAATCACTAAATAATTAAATCTGGGAATAGATAAAGACAATGATCAGAGAAGAAATCGAGAAGTTTCTTTTCCTTTGTTTTAGATAATGAGCAATAAGAAGAATTAAGACAATGATTCTTCTTATTTATAAAATACGTAGGCCAAAATAATATTTAGAACAACTGAGGAGAAAGAAAAATAAGAGCAAAAGTAATACACTCTATAAACCATTTCAACTTTTATGTTGATCCTGACCTTTTAATATAATTGACTGTTAATAAATGATATTTACTAATTTTGAAATTTATGTATAAATCTAATTAATTAATAACTGATTATATAATTATTTCATTTATTTTACTGACCATAAATCATACTCTTATTCATTATTATTATTATTTGTGAAGGTTCATGATGCCGTTACAATAATTAGTACATTTACAGATACAGCACCAATCGGAATATTTCGATTGGATATATCAACAGTATATAATGAAAAAGAACATGCATTTGAACGAAAATGGGCTCAATTGGTTAATCCGGAAAATATTGCATCGCCTTGTGGTCATTTACTTCTTTCAATATCTGTTACACAACGTGGTGTTTCAACGAAAGTAAGTACCTTTTTATTTGATCACACATTTTTATTTGTTTGTTTTATTCTTTTTAAAGAATGTTGTCAGTGAAGATGTACATGACAATGATGAATTTAAACCATCGTAAATATAAAGGACTTCGTTGGATTAGGTGACCTATTCAGAATTGAGAGAACAAATATGCCATGTTGAGACATGTCGAATATTACATAGTAAATCTTATTTTCGTAAGACTTTCAAGGAACTAAAGTCAATTTATTGATTGATGACAATCATCGTGATCTTTGGTATCAGTCGCAAGTATTTGTAAAGAAATTTTTCTTATATACAATTTTGTAGAGCTTTTTATGAGTTACACGCTCATATACTTAACATTTCTGGATCAGCCTATCTTTGATAGATAAAAAATGCAATTTTTCAATGATTTATCACCATTTTGTTCCACAAATGGTGAGTCTTCGTGTCTTCAATAATGTCGACTATAAGAGATGTGACTAAACAGCAAACTTTCTCAGTAATTTCCCGCAATGTAGTATTTTGACTGTTGAAAGTCAAACTCTGTTGTGAAATAAACATGATATTCGGAATCAGCACAACAAATTACAGTGAATAGCTTATACTTTAACTAAATATTTTTCCGCCAAAATTCGACCTGCACTCCTCCTGAGCCGTTTTTTCCTGGATTTCGCCTTGTTGTACTCCACGGATCAAAGTTTGGTGGAAAAATATTTCAAGCTACTCAATGCAATTTTTTATACTGATTCCGAATATCAAGTTTATTTCGCAACAGAGTTTGGTTTTCAACAGTCAAAATGCAGTATTAAAAGAGGAAAATTGCAGATTTCTCAATACAAGGCTATTTTGGACATTATGCACTTATTTTTGAAAACTTCGAAACAATGTGTTTTGTACTACTACATCGCGGGTAATTTCTGAGAAAGTTTGGTGTCTAGTCACATTTTTTATAGTCAACACTATTGAAGACACGAAGACTCACCATTAGTGAAAAACAATGATAAGTCATTGACCAGTTGCATTTTTACCTATCAAAGATATGATGATCGAAG